AAAAAATCATGATAAATGATATGATCAATATAACAATTTAAGAGCAAAATGTTTTTATAAATAATGTGAATGTCAGAATTTTAATATTGCAAAAATATTGTTGAATCTTACATTTTTCTTTTTGATTTTTTACTTTTATTTATTTTTTTATTTTTTTAAGGCTTCAATTTTTAAGGTTTAAATCTCAGATTGTCAAAATGGTCTTAGACATTTGGACACCCCTGAAAATCTGTATTATGTGACTGAATGATTTAAAATATGAACCATCATGATCAAAAGTGATTTTTTAAAAAAGTATTGTGTAATGCTTGTGTTGAGAAAACTGTCTAGTCCGCTGTCATCATCAGACCTCATACAATCAGTGAAACTCATCTCATTATCAGATGAAACCTGCTGGTGACCTGCAACCGATACGTATATAAGAAATTGTGATATCAAAGACTACGTAAGAACTAACATTTACAAAAAATAAAATAAATTGTATGTCTAGACAATGTGCATTAAAATATGTTAATGTCATCCCACACCTTATAAACCAAATTGATTTATGCCAGAATTGTCAATGCTTGTCTTGTAATGACAGATTTATATAGCATTAATCATGAGTTGGTCATAGTTGTGGTCCTGTGAAGCCAATACAAAACTAAATGACGTGCACATATTCACCTGTTATACTTTTCACAATCACAGCGGTGTGTAATGGATATGTAAAAATCAACATTATCTAGATGATCTGTATGCGTTAATGACAGCTCTGTCACCGCTTGTCATGTTGTATCAGTTCTATTGTGTATTAATCATCAATTTGTCATATGTTGTAGTCTCATATCAGTCTCGTAGTCTTCACACAAAACTGAATGACGTACACTTTATACTTTATGCAGTCTATTTATACAAAGTATTAGCAGTATATTGAGTGGGGTTTCAGGTGAAATTGTCTAAACCAACTAGAAAGTTTGGCATCTGTACCATGCTAATAATAATTTAAAAAATGTTTGACTATATGGTCTGAAGATCCTAGTGTGCTGAATTTCATAACATAAACAATTAGCATATTTCTTAGTCATATCCAGTTAAAAACAATTTATGTAGAGGGAATATCAGATTTAGTCAGAGTGGTTCACTCTCATACAAAGGTAAGCATTCCTGAACTTCCAGGACTGAGTTGTGTTTAGAGTGTCATTTCCGCTGCAGGTTATGATAAAACCATATGAGGTCATCACGGGAAACAAACATATGTGCTTGCTTCTGTGGTAGAAAAGTAGAGCAAATTTCCCTGCTGGGTCTGTCGTAAAAGTGGAGATTCATGCTTCCTCAAAACTTTCACTTCTTACACAACAGACTGTCTGACTCCTTTATATACGCAGTGCCAGGCACTAACACACTCTGCTGTGGAGGAGGGTAGTTTACTTTCAGAAAGGTCAGTTGGAATGAGCTAGAAAATATGAACTTATAAACTGCCATTTAAAAGTCCAGTCATTAGTGTCACGTGATCCTTCAGAAATCATTTTAATATGCTGATTTGGTGCTCAAAAACCATTTATCAATGTTGGAAAAAAGTTGTGCTGCTTAACATTTTCGTGGAAACCATGATACATTTTTTTCAGGCTTCTGAATACATTATAAACATGTCTTTACTGTCACTTTGAATCAACTTAATGCATCCCTGCTGAGTAAAAGTAGTAAAAGTTCTGCAATTTAAGCAGCTTATACACACTGTACAAATAATTTACATCAGAAAAAAGGGTAAACACCTAATTGATGCATAACCAGCTACAGAAAAAAACAATAATGATTTAACAGGGTTTTAACAACAGATTTAACAAGACAACAGATGTCTTATGTAGGCCTACCTGCATTATTAAGGTTATAAGTTTTGAGGTACAAAGCAGGGTTTTCATGTTCACGTTTGTTATAGCATTACATAATTTATTGATAAACAAGGTTATAAATTCTAAAATACACAAGGCTATTAAATGTGGCTAATTTTCATACACACTACTTTAGACATATCTTACTGAATGTAACCTTCTCATGGTCCTGAAAACCTTTTAAAGTAATGGGCTAACACGTATGCTTGAAATTAATTTAGTATTTCTTTACAAAAAAGAATTTTACTGTATGGATGAGCACATTTTTGACTGTGAAAAAGCAAAAGAAGTTAACTGTTCATCATTCATGTCAACTTCAGTGCAGTTTAAAAATGACCCCAGCATGCACCCCATGAAGTTGAGGAAGAGAGGGAATAAAGAGTGCAGAGCTGTTATCCAGATCATGAAAGAGACTAGTATTTGTTTAGTGAATAATGGTAGACTTATTAAAGGATCAAAAGAAAAAGTAAAACAATGTGTAATGCTATAGCCTTCCCACCCCTCAACAAAGTATGTCAGCAAAGGGTGTGTTAACGGCTCAGAAATATGCCAAAGAAATGACTGTGCAAAAAACTTGTTGGCAGATTGCCCTGCACAGATAAATCCAATAATATAACAAAAGGGGAGGTGTCTCTGCTTCCCCTAATACAGCTCAAGCAAAGAGTCTTTCAAACCTTCAAAACGTTTCAGTGGATTTTACCACCATCTAGTGATGGATGAAAAACTAATTTCTTTGCTAACTAGTGTTTCCGTTTTTTTGAATAATGAACTCCTCTGTTTTTTGTCCCGTTGCAGAATGTGAGGGAATGTAGCCAAGAGAAAAGGACATGAAACAACATGTTAGAATCGTCTCCAAAGTCATGTGCAGACATGAGGGGATATCAGTCAGTACATCAAGTCTTTTTCACCTAAACATAGTTGTCATAACGCTTAAGTGTCATAAGGCAACACCAGCCACTATGTAATAGCCAGGAACTTCAATAAAATAGTGAGGTATATTAAGATTACCATTAAAAACACATTAAATTACACACAAAGAGAAATTCCACACCATTCCATTCATTTATAATTGCTGGATAAGGAAAATAAATTAATTTGTAAATCTTTTTTTTTTTTCTGAAAACATTTATATTCAATATAGTCATTTCCATGATTTGTTTTTTTTCAGGTGTGGAAGAAGTAAATCCTTTTTTGGAATTGAAATAAGCAGAACCGAGTATGTTTTTAAGAGATCATTTCAAAATTTTGACATCATTGAATATACCTCTGAGGTAAAATGGGGCTTTATGAGTAATATTACGCCTTTAATGATTCATTAAAATAATATGGTAAGACATAAGAGTGACCCTCACTGTAAAAATTAATGAGTTAACTTAAAAAAAAAAAAAGCAAACAGCTGCAAACTATTTGCAAGTTAGACTGGTTGTTCACCCAAACTAACATTTTTTAAGTTAAATCAACCCTTTTCATGAGCAAGTACAGTAATAAATTATGTATTTGTTGAAAGTTAAATAGGGGGCTGAATAAACTAGAAACAAGTACAGTAATTAAGAAACATGGTTCTGAAAATTGTTTAGTTGGTAAATACATTCAAAAATTAAACAAACCAAAAGGACACTAATCATGCTATAATTACTTAAAATAAAACATTTTTAATTAAAACAATCAAAAACACTTAATATATGTTTTATCCTATCATGCTAAAGGATGAATAAAAGTACACACCCTCACAGTTCCCCATGTTTTGATCAAACACACAAAAATAAACTATTCAAAAGGGCAAGGAATTGTGGGTATTCCCTTTGGGCCTACCCAGTAACAGATACAACAGTATATGAGGTTCAAGGTGCTTAAACCTTATATATCTTTATAAAAGCAAACTCAAACTGTTTTGAAAAAAAAGAAAGAAAAAAAAAAGTAGAAGTTGGATGATTTCAGTGTATGGAAAGTGCCAGGAGCTTATTGTAATAATGAGGGACCTGTATTTTGTCAGTTTATCTCTCTCTGTGACATGCTGGTTTAATTCCTCTGCTGTAATCCTATTACACCGCACCAAATTATTACTGAGATGTAACCATGATGCCCATGCAGACAGAGACATTATTATCCGAGACAGAGCACAGCAAAGAAAGGCAATCACAGCAAACGGTCAGGTAAGAATGATATTTCTCTAACTCTTCCTCGGGTTAATGAGCACTGCAAACATGGTTCTCTGGGATAGTTTTGTATATATAGGATGCACAAAAAATATATTGAATCTTTTTTTTTTTTGCTGTTTTTGACATCACTATACAAGCCCTGGTTCAGACAGGACACATTTCTAAATAAAAATAAAAATAAAAAAATAAATGAAAATAACTTGGTGACCAATAATTTCTAATAATGTTTTATTAAAATGCAATGATTTAAATGTTCTGGTCTATAATACTGCAATAACAAACCAGCTTAAAACACGCATAGGCCTTAGACTTGCTTGCATGAATCCTGCAACTAGCACATTTGGTAATGGAATTTGTTTATGGGAGTGAAAATATGTAAAATAGAGCCAATTAGTCGGATTGAACAAGATTATTTCTGACGTATTTCAGAGTGCGTCTTGTTCACAGCATCCAGTGTAGTAACGGATCAGCACATTTCTTTAAACCAGCTGCTCACATACACATTGGAGGCACTCTGAGAAGGCCACATAAATATTAGTGGGGGGTTTTTTTCAGATTGCATGCGTTTTTACATTTATTCAGATGTATGTGTGTGAAGCATTGCTACAACTGCACTGCAATCAGTCTCAGAATGTGTTTTTTGTTGAAAGAAAACAGAAACACTGTGGGCACTTGTGCAACAAACTCATTACTCACATCAATATAATCTGATTGTAATCTTATCCATCACCTATAAGAGAGTAATCTGCTAATTCCACCTCAACCTGGATAATTGTAACAGACCCTGACAGTGTCAAGAACTCATGCAACAGAAATAAAATCTACTTTGCATGCGGGATAACATCAGAATGACTACACCAGTAAACGATGGTAAACATAAAGCTTCCCATCTGTTTGTTCGTCTCATATGGTCTGGAAATATAAAAAGGAGTGAGGAAATGTCAACCACTTCAAGTCATTTTGTTAGAGGATGTTGCACAAAATGGGCATAAGATCTGTAATATCTATCATCAGGTCTCCATAGAAGATTCATCATGTCAGGTTCACCTGAGATTGAGGAACTACCAGCAACACAAACAGGTAAAAACATCTATTGATTATACAGTAATGATGAGATAATACTGGAGATTTTCATCATTATGCTGTGATACGCCTAAGATTATCTGTAATATAGAGGCTACATTATACTACAGACCTGGAAACTGATTTAAACTAGATTCATCCATCAATCCATTGCAACTCAGGGCCCAAAGGTGTGATCCATGACTGGAGGAAATTCAAACTTGAGAGTGAGGACCATGAAAGCATCCCTCCCAACAAGAGAGAGCTCCTCAGACAGATGTCCAACCCCAAATCCAATAATGACGACACCCATGGAAAGATAGGCCGCAAGGTATTGTAAAAAATACCCAACTGATATCTAAACAACAAAATGAGGAAATCATTTTAATTCCAAGAATCCAAGTACACATGGCTATCAGAGCTACTCATTCTATATGATTAACATTTGTTACATTTTAAAATGATAGTAGAAGTCATCAAAATAATAAAATAACATGAAAACATGCAGTGATAAAAAAAAAAAATGAAGTAAATCTTCATGAGGGAGTGCTTTATAAATTGATTGTATTGGATGCAACGCTACGGTTTGGAGTCGGGGAGATTTTTTAAATATTTTTTAAAGAAGACTTGTATGCTCACCAAGGCTCCATTTATTTGATCAAAAATACACAAAAAGTACAGTAATATCGTTAAATATTAATACAGCTTAAAATTATTGTTTTCTATTTTAATGTATTTTAAAATGTAATTTATTCCTGTGGTAAAGCTGAATTTTCAGCATCATTACTCCAGTCGTCAGTGTCACATGATTCTTCAGAAATCATTCTAATATGCTGATATACTGCTCAAGAAACATTTCTTATTATTATCAATCATGAAAACAGCCTATGCTTTCTTTTTTGGTGGAAACCGTGATAATTTTTTTTCAGGATTATTTGATCAATAGAAAGTTCAAAAGAACAGTATTTATGAGAAATAGAAATCTATTGATTTTTTAAAACAATTTAATGGATCCTTGCTAAATACACGTATTTCTTTCTTTTTTCCTTCAATATTCGGTTTAAATAATTCATTAATAATTTTTTTTATTTCGTTTTGTAGAAAAAAGAAACCATACATAGGCAAAATAATTTATAAATAAAAATTATTTTTAATTTACAGTTTAAATTAAATGGTTTTTAAGATCCCAGTCAAGCGTGTCCAGATTATTGACTGACAGTGTGAGCGTTTTGTAATGTTTATTAACATGTTGCTTTGTCTGACCACACACGCAGATGAGCGTTCAGGAATACGAGATGATCCAAGAAGAGGACGAAGCGTGTCTGCGTAAGTATCGCAAGCAGTGCATGCAGGAGATGCACGGACGGCTGAGTTTCGGGCCTAAGTTTGATGCCGTGTTTGAGTTGGATAGCGAGGAGGCCTTCCTGGATGTCATCGAGAAAGAGCACCGCCTGACAGTAGTGGTGGTGCACATCTATGATGACGGGATCGGAGGTTGTGACGCACTCAACAACTGCTTGACCTGCCTGGCAGCAGAATATTCCGCCGTCAAATTCTGCCGAATCCGAGCCTCTGCCACCGGGGCGGGCGAGCGTTTTTCAGACGACGTTCTGCCCGCCCTGCTGGTGTACAAGGCTGGAGAGCTGCTGGGCAACTTCCTGTGCTTCACAAAGCACTTGAATGAGGAGTTCTTTGCCACGGATGTGGAGAACTTCCTAAATGAGTACGGTCTGTTGCCAGAGAAAGAGATTGCAGCCTGTCCCGATGAGGAAGAGAACACTGATGTTGACTAAAGGAAAATTTAAAGGGTGGAAGTGAATTATATTAGTCAACCTGTCAGACTTGTTTCTGAGATAGATCGAGTATGACTCTGTGACTACTGGGCCATGACTCCAAAAAACACGCTCACCTAAAGGCATTTACGAACACGTCATTTACAGCAGTTCAATTCTTCGTAGGGTTATCAAAGTCATACAGTCATGCTCGTTTCATTACCAATGAGTTTCCATGACTTTTTGACCTTTCCAGTAGCTTTTGATTACTGAAAAGTAGAAGAAAGTGAAACAACTGATTGATTTGTCAGAGCCATCTAAGACAAGTTTGAGTCCCAAACTGAGGTCCTTTCCTGATCCTGTTTCTCCTCAGACTATTTATCTCAAAGGCAAAAATGCCCCACAAATATAATTTTCAGGGGAAACAAATATTTACTCACAAATTGCACGTTAGTATGGTTTGTGAAGAAGCAGATGGAATATTTTATTTTGAATGTAATTAATTGTAACATACACTACCATTCAAAAGTTTGGGGTCAGTAAGATTGACTTCTTTGAAAGTAATTAATACTTTTATTCATCAAGGATGGATTAAATTGATCAAAAGTGACAGTATTATATTATTATAATGTTACAAAAATTCCTATTTCAAATAAATGCTGTTCTTTTAAAGTTTCAATTCATCAAAGAATCCTGAAAAAAATGATAGTTTACACAAAAGGTAGCACAACCGTTTTCAAAATTTAAATTATCAATGTCATCGCTCCCGATGTTTAATATTATTTGAATATTTCTTGAGATCCAAAACAGCATATTAAAAAGATTTCTGAAGAATCACGTGACACTGAAGACTCGAGTAATGATGCTGAAAATTCAGCTTTATCATCACAGGAATAAATTACATTTCAAAATAGACTTTTCAAAAATCTAACTGAACCAAAACATTTTGACCGGTAGTGTATATTCATCACAGAAATGAAACTCTCCTGAAATGTCCCTAACTCTGATTTGCAGAGAACGGGAGAATCCATCTTTTTTTTAATTAGTAAGGCTTGTCACACGGAGCAATTTGGAATGAAAGTCAAATTGCCACACAATGACACTGTACTTGTCATCTATTTTGTATCGAGCCGCTATCAGCTTAAAGAATAAATTATATCAGAAAAAGTGTGATTTCATGTTGTCACGCTACACTAAATGAATCGGGTGACTTCAATGAACGCAGAGGCGCCAAGAACCCTCCTCTGTCTTTTATGTCTTCATGACTATACAACTAAAACTTCAGGTAAAACATGTCCTGACATGTACCCAGCTAACTCAAAGATCACACAATCACAGGATTACTGAGGAGGGTTTGAGAGAGTATTCATATGCAAGTGCTTGTTTGGAGGTGCAGGTGAATGTGGGTTTAGGTCAGCATATCATTGTGAAAACTGAATGACTATGTTAAGGATACACATGATGGTGCTTTAGAATGGGGGTACAACCATTAGGCTTTGATCTTAAACTGAGGAAAAAAAAAAAAGTAAACAAAAATTAAATATAAACTAAAGTTCACCTAAATGTTTCACTGTCCTTGCCACTTTATTTACAAGGATTTTTTTTTTATTGGATTTGCAATGTAAAAATCATAAGGTATGCACTACCAGGGGGTCCTTCGTCTGTAAAGGTTTAAGATGGCTGATCATCACACACACTCACACACAAAAAATGTTTCCGGCAATTATATTTAATTACATTAATTTATTACGTCAGTTCCTGTATGCCTTTCATGCTAAGTGGTTACATAAGCCAGAAGAAACTGGTTTGATAATGACATGACAAATGGCACAATACTGGAAAAACCACAATCATTCTGCAAAGACATGTAGGATAATGACAGTTAACGCTTTTCTTTTGATCTATTATTAAGGTTGCACAAGTGAAAACATGTTACCTGTAAGAAATCTTATTCCCCTGTCAAGGAAAAAAATTATAAAAACAAAACAAAACAAAACAAAACACATGATTGTGTAATTTGCCCTCTAGTTAACTGCCACTGGTATGTTATTACCCAATTAACTTATTTAAAAATATATATTTTGAGCTACACTATCAAAAATATGTGAACCTTTTCAAATTAACGGATTTGTCTATTCTGTTATTAAAGTATAAATCCCAATCACAGTACTTCATCACAAAAATAACTCTTTTTCCAACTTTGTGGCAACAATTAGAAGAGAAATGGTTTGACTGGCCTAAAAAAAAGCCCATCACCCAACATCAGACCTGACCTGACCTCATTTATGCTCATGTGTCTAATTTCAGAACAATTGCAAAAGAATAAACCCATCAATGGGCATCAGTAAGGTCAGACAGTGTGTTCGGCACAGAATTCTCTAGATTGTCATTATATAGTGTAACATTAAGATTGTCTTCACTCGAATAGCCAAACCTGTTTATTAGAAAGGAGTCTCCACATACTTTTGCCATATAGTGTATCTTACATTATAACAATCCTATAATAGACTTATAGTCCAAATTTTAAGGATTATATTTGAAAGTTTTATAGTATATTGAAAGATTATATAGTATATTATACAAATATACACACTCACTTGTACATTCATACAGACTTGTTTGCTATTTCCATTGTCACTCACTAAAATACAGCAGAGATGTGGCTGTGGCAAGGAGAGCAATGGTTGCTGCTACTGCCACACCTGTGTGTTTGAGAGAGAGACAGAGAGAGAGAGAGAGAGAGAGAGAGAGAGAGAGAGAGAGAGAGAGAGAGAGAGAGAGAGAGAGAGAGAGAGAGAGAGAGAGAGAGAGAGAGAAGAGAGAGAGAGAGAGAGAGAGAGAGAGAGAGAGAGAGAGAGAGAGAGAGAGAGAGAGAGAGAGAGAGAAGAGAGAGAGAAGAGAGAAAGAGAGAGAGAGAGAGAGAGAGAGAGAGAGAGAAGAGAGAGAGAGAGAGAGAGAGAGAGAGAGAGAGAGAGAGAGAGAGAGAGAGAGAGAGAGAGATCAGGTGGGTGGAAATGAACCAACAGGAATATGAGAATGTTTCCAAGAATAAAAGGAATCAAAAAGAAAATATGGTCACATCTGTCCAACTAACAAGAACATGGAGTCACTCACACTGTATCATTAGATAATGTATCATTATAATTAACAATATTGTCGAGCCCCATTTAATACCATGATACAAAGAGAATGATTTGTTGTATTAATAAGAAGTAAGAAATAGAGAGTGATTTAATATTTATACTAATCATTATGAATAATATTAGGCACTTACCAGCATAGTATTGAGGGGCTTTGTGAATCTTGGGATTTTCAACTTGAACTTCTGAGATGACACGTTTACTGGAATCATCACTGTGGCTGTCATTCATCTCCAATTCAGGCGAGAATACTGGGGGAAAAACATGCACAAACATGTAAAAAAAATCTAGGTATTGTAGGCTTGTGTAGGACCGAAGAGAGAGAAATACAACCAGAAGGGGGAAAAAAACAAGAGTAAAATAATCTCATCTTTCCAAGGAGGAGGCCGAGTTGTGTTGTCATAAAGATGATAATCCAAAATTCCCGAAGGGCCAGATATTACAAGGGATCAGACATTCTATAGCCTCCGGTTAAACATATCACTTATGTTTTTCCTTTTAACCATACATAGAGAAAATATTCGTGGGCTTAAACTGGTTTGAACAAGATGCAAGGTGTAGCTGGCTATTATTTTAGAGGGGAACAAGGCAGGGTGTGTCTGTATGTGCTCCTTTTGAAAAGATTTATCACTTAGCATTCTGTAAATCACACACCTATACACATTCTTGACCATTTAACCATAACGTCCCTTCAATGTGTTCAGTCATCCAGTCAATCCCAAAGACTTTGCAAGGACTTGCTCTACATTGCACAATACCCTAGTAACAGATCTGAGGTCCACTTGAAAAAGCCTCGAGGTGATACAAACCAATACAATAGTGAAATTTCATGAGACACTCAAATAAAGTGAGAGAATTAATTAATCCCTAAAGCAAGGGTTCTTAACTCTGGCCTTCAAGGTCCACTTTCCTGCAGAGTTTTGCTCCTCCAACCCTAATCAAACACACCTGAACAAGCTAATCAAGGACTGAAATCACCAACTATACCCTCATTCACTATTCCCTACATTACTCCACTAATATATTTCACTTGAGGGAGTGAATGAAAACCGTTTAATCGTTTGAAACTTATAGAACACTGGCAGCTCCAGTAGTAGATGAAAAAGATAGATCTTGAACTCTGTCATGGAAACTATGTATAAACCTTAATTAAACAATTTAATAATCAATTAAAAATGAATTTATGCCGGTATGATATTACGCTGTAGCCACATTCGACCAGTGGTTTGGAGAATGGATGGATGGATGATTCAGCTGTGAGCGCCATCTTCTGGCGAGACGCAGGAATTAATTTGGCGTGCGACTTTCACGGTGCTTTATGGTGTTTGTTTTTAATTTAGTTGTTTCTAAATGTTTTTGATTATTTATTGTGTTTTACTTTTTTTCTTGTACTTGTACAGCACTTTGGGGCAGTAGTGACTGCTTGTAAATGTGCTTTATAAATAATTAAACCTTGACCTTATGGGTATTATGTAGCCGTTGAGCATGATCAGTTGTACACTCATTGTGGTGGTGCATTGTGGGATTGAATGAGTGCACTAGACAACGTCCTCTATGGTTTCGGACCCCACTACAAATGGCTGTCGCCTCAAATTGTGCCTATTAAAGGTATAGGGGCGTTTTCAGACACAGCCAAGGTCTTCGGAAATACTAAAAAGTTAAAGGCAGGTGAGTTTGATCAAGAAAGATTAGAGCTGAACTCTGTTCAAAAGTTGAGAACCCCTGCTCTAAAGTCTCATATTGAAATATGGGAAACATACACTGATTGCTCTCCAGACTAATATCTATGTCCTCTTCTGGTGTTTCCCAGTCCAGCATCTCTTTAAGACGATCGGCCACATCAGCTGTACTTTCATCTGGGAACATGTAGTCACACACAGACAGGCCGGAGAAGGGCATTGGGGCAAACACACGCCGAGGAAGAGCCTGTTGTCCAGTGCACAGACCTAGAGAAACAATATGGGAACTCACGTCTTGAATTAGGAATACATTTATTTCTGTACCATGTACAAAACTTACTGAAGACAAAGGCATGGACAAAGGGTGGCACCCTACTGACATCTAGTGCTCAGTTTGATGTTTGCAACTGTTTGTGGAACATCAATGTATATAAGTCACCTTAAATTTTTAAAAGATTTACTCTAAATGTTTTGTTCCCAAAATTCTTAAAAATATCTTCTTTTATGTTCCACATAAGAAAGAAAGTCATACAGGGTTGGAACGACATGGGGATGAGTAAATGATGATTGAATGTAAATTTTTGTGTTGACATTCCTTTCAACGACAATATGTATGGCATGATGGATCACTTTACCTTTGCGACTCCCTTCACTTATTAAAAGATCTTCCAGAAACATCTCCACTCTGGAGGAAACCGTGTTTATGATGTCTCTCTTAATGGCCTACCAGTGCAAAGGAGAAATTAAATCAGCATCAATCAATAACAGGCAAATACAAAAGTGTATAAACAGGTTTTTGATCGTGAAAATATTGTGTGAAATAATGTTCATGTTATGGCTTATTTTGTCTAAATAAATGAATAATAAACCAATACGAAATAACAGAAATAGTTTTAAATGCTAGTTGAAATTAATTCAGGCATCACGACCTTAAATATATGATATGAAAAATGTACATTGAGATTTGCTTAAGATTATATTTAACAGATATTTAAGTATTAGTGTTCAAAAGATGTTGTTACTGCAGATGACGCCAAGGTAATTTAAATGTAAAATGAGGGGAAATAAGCATTAACAATTAAATATCTAATATCGATATATATCGTCTTATAACTGATATGGTACCAAAATATTACTTATCCCTAAGCATAAAGCATTGAAAATAGGCTTTAATGACCTGTACTGCATGTCTGGCTTTGGGTTTGTTGTTGTGGATGTAGGCCCTGCAGTGAACCACCCCTCGAACCCTCATGGAGCCACTGCACAGCTGAACTAGAGCACTGGACCGCTCATCCAGCTCTGGCTGCTCCTGTCACATCAATATTCTCATTATACCTTTGACTACACACAAATATATCCCATCGATAATGTTCGTTATTATGAGATGAGATTAAAATGAGCTGACATCTGAGACAAGGATCCGTGCTGGGAAAGTCTGACGATGGGTTGTCTTTAGGTTCTTTTTCTGAAAGAAAAAAATTTCTACTTCATCTCAAATTTTAAATAAATATGACAGAGAAATGACAGAGAAATGACAGAATTCTGTTTTTACCTGTCCTGAGATGAGTTCAGAGTCATCTAATGCCTGTCTGCCACTTATGAGACAGTTACCAGCCTCAATCTGTTTAGCCCACCTCGTAAGACAATCCTGGACATGGGGGGCAAAGAAAGATACAACCTGTATGCACTGTATGAAAATCTAAAATCTACACAAAATCCTTCACAAATAAAACACTGTCTTGTCTTCATATACCCCATCTGACTTCTGTCTCACCTTCATGCACTTGTCTGTGTTATCAGAGGAAGATCTTGTCAAAGGGATCTGCAAATCCACCTCAACAGAGCAGGTCAACATGGGCCAGGATGACGAGACACATGTCTGATACTTCCAGTCTGCTGGCTTGGCCGAACTCTATAAATCAGTACAGGGTTGTCACGATACCATACACATATCTCACGATAATATACCAGCTACAGCATCTCACAATACCATGCAGTTTCAGTAGGCTTAGTGAATCATTGATTTGGCCGATTTGTTCAAAAACACGGATTCAAAACAAACTTTGTTTAGAACTATTTTTGGTAGTGAAATAGAGCAAAAAAACTGTCAATAACTTTTTGTTTTTATTGAACTGTTGTATAAAATTAATCACATTTGCAATGTGCTGTTACTCGGAAAAACAGCACTCTTGCTCGCGTCATATTACTGAACTGTCATGTTATAAATATAAAAGAACAACTCATACAAGCCAGGGCATTTTTGCCCCCATATTTTGATATTTCCAACTCTGACTGAAGGGCAGTATGTATATTAAGACATATAATTAATTTATAAATGTATCACATTATTAAGATTGATATGACTGATAAGAACTGTGTGCAAATACGGCTATGCTGATGAATGGAATTGCATTCGACATTGCAAAGATCTAGAAATGTTCTAGAAACTAACCATTACATCTGTTCCAGAGTCTGTCAAATGAGCAAAGGATAACCTGCGAGAATACATCCTTATATAAAGTTATTATGATGTTGAAAAGTAATATTTAAGCTGCTGATTTTTTAAATCTTTTCAGTCTCTTTCTCGCAGCGCAAACAATGACGTGCAACATCTAATTGTAAAATGAACTGTGATCAGTGTTTTTGAAGTGAAGCGCCGGGACCCGGGAAACACTCCATAACAGGGGTTTCCAATCTTTTAGATGCCACGGACCCCCCAATATAAACATCGTCGTGTGAGGAACCCTAAAATTGATAAAGGCATCTATCTTTTATAAACACTCAATTTATACAGTAAAAAATTAATAAATGTAAAATGAGTTTCTATTAAGTAAAGTTACATAATTATATTTTTTCTACTAAAAGGTAAGGTAAAGGTCACAGCAGAAAGGTAACAGCACTCAAAAAGACTGTCTTGTAATGTTCTTGCATCCATGTTCAAATGAACGTTTTAAATAGTGTACCTGCCACAAATACAACATAACTTAGAGTACTACCGTATTGACGATACTACTGTAGTACCCAAAATGTCTCTCACCTTTGGATCTTTTACATCAAGCGTTTTGCAGACAGTTCTGTACATTTTAAGTCAAGGATCATGCAAACTTTTGAGGTTATTTATAGTGGGTGATGCTTGCAGATCACAGAGGAAATTATGTAGGGATGTAGTGTGCAGGATACTTCTTTGTTTTGGAGCAGATGTGCAGGGTGACTCGATCCGTCACATCCTCCTCTGTCAGTTCCCACAATCTTCCCTTACTTATGCATTTATCCATGGCAAATATAAGCTACAAAAAGAGATCAGCACAAAAATAAGCGATGAAGTTATGATGGTCAACAAAATCATCTTTAATAAAAGCTAAAATGTGGTCCAGTCAATTTTTTAATTATTAGTATATTAGTATTAGTAAAATTCATTATTAATAAATTAATGTTTTTTTTTTTAATTAAATAAAATTTATTTTAAAAAACAGTACCCTTTTTAATGTGTTTTGGGCATCTTTGGAGAGTTCAGGTGGGGTCACTAAAAACAAGCCAAGAATACAAAGACCTCCTGGTAACATGCGGGACACCTAGAATAGAGAAAGTCAAAATCCTTACCTGTACAACTAGACTGTAAAAACATTTCAAAGCCATTGTGTGAGTGGCAAGACATCAGGCTACCCACCTGCCTGGCATGTTCTGTGACCCACTGCACATCAATGTCATCCAGTGGGCCGCTTCCTCTAGAAGACTTCAGCTGCCCCTCACTCTCCCTCTGAGGAGTCTGCACGGCCAGCACCACAAAATCTCTTTGAGGAGAGGACTGTAAAAAGAAAATGTTAGGATAAATTGTTCTGTGAACTGACACGATTAAATATAGGTTAGTTTAGTTTCCTCACCTGACCAGCCAGGAGTCCAGTCACACATGATCCGGGATCTGCCAGAAGACCACCAAGATATTTTTCCACAGCTTCATCAACAAAGTAACTCCTACCCATTCTGCCCGCACACATAAACAATAATACATATCAATATTGTGTCATATTAACCTGCTTGCAAGTTGCAACTGTAAAATAACTATAAAACATATGTTACACTTCCCAAACAGATGCCAAATAATGTTAAAATACCTTTATACAGAGTTTCACTGACAGGTATTGCAGTTATTAAGGAAACATTTATTTTTACTATTATTATCATTATTACCTGTACCAGAGCAAATTAATCAATAAATCAGTGTCAATCTTCTCAATGACAGTAAATAAACAAACAGGAAAAAGTGTATTTAGTCAGCCTTTTGATCATGACAAATATAGTGTGAAATAATTTCCATGTTATGGCCGATAACCAATAAAGCGCCAGTATTAAAATTAAAATAGTATTTTGTCTAAAAAAAAGACTAAAAAACACTAATAAATTAAATAAATGGTTTTGAATGCTAAAATTACATTTATGCATCACACATTATAATGTGTACAGTAGGAAAGATTATTATTATTATGCCAAATGGTTAAAGTTCCAAAATATAGAAGAGAAAGAGTTGAACGTCTTGAATGAAAACTATAAGTAATACATTTGCAAGAGTAAACTTTTTTATAAAATCATTGAGAATAATGACGTTTTACGAAACATACAATGTAACAACGATGTTTCTGAAAGAATTGCAAAGACAATCCTTCAAACGTACCTTCAGATCAGGCACCCTTCTCCAAACAGCTGATGAGTTCTCAGTGGAACCAATACGTGTGACGCATCGTCGCATCAATCTCACGCAACTCAATTCAAGCGACCTGATTGGACAATATGCTCGTAGGTCCGTGCTGCTTTGCGACTTGAGTTTGTATCGCTCACATATGACGTAGGGGCAGTAGCTAGCTAATGCTAACTCTTGCAGTGAGCTGGAGAGATGGCGGCACTTCTTCAGCAAACGCTGGAGAGAAGTGAGATAAACAAACTGCCGAAAGCCATTCAGAACAAGCTCGAGAAGGTTCTATCAGAGCAGCAGACGGAAATAGACTTACTGAAATCTCAGTACGAGCGGTATAAAGCAGACTGCGGTGAGTAACGGTAGCAGGCGGGCCAGATAGTCATTCAACAGCTGTGTGTCTTATAAAGTAATGTACTGCATGACTAGACAGCATGTTTAGGCATCATAAACGCGTTTATGCAGATTGAAGAACAAGTTGTTTGGGTGATTATTCTGGAGAGGCTTGTATCTTCTGCATAAATTATCTACCAAGTTGAGTCTACTTAAGTTTTTGGTATAAATAGTTAACTAACGTTAGTTATTAATACTGAGATGTAGTGACAGACCAAAGAAAATGTTTGTCTTTTCCATTTAAAGAATATGTTTAAAATTATGTTAAGAGATAAAGAGAATGTCGAGCATATATAGCCTCTCTTGTAAATCTATAAAGCATAATTAATTCACTTCTCGTGGTATTTTTATTCCTAAATCAGCAGTCTTAATAATGAAGTGTCAAAAGAGCTGTTGGTATCAATTGTCCCAGTGAAACATGTTACAGATGTTTGTTTTTAATCAACAGAGCAACAATACTTTAATCTTGAGAAGAAGCTAGCTGAGAGTCATGAGCAGTTCCTGTCCCAAAGTAAAGAGTATCATAGTATTAAAGAGGAGAACATCCGTCTCAGTAAGTACTATGCTTTATTCTATTTTTATATATGGATTGTATTGACACAGAGCTGCTGTAAAACATGGGTGTGCTTGTGCTTCTTTTTTTTTTTTTAAGCCGAGGAACTTAAGAAGTTGAAAGATGTAGAGGAAGAGCAGGGAACAACGCAAGAGGTAACGATTTGAGTTTCTCACCTGCCATGCTTCGTATGGGCCTTAATATTTTGAGCAGTTAAAGATGATGTAAATATCCCAATGTTTTTGCATTTCAGAGTACGCCACCAAGAGCCAAGTATGAAATTGAGGCAGAAAACCGAGAGCTCTCACGGTTGCTTGAGAAGAGATCTCAAGAAGTGGAAAACCTCAGTGGTATGGCACTATTTTTTACATCAGTGATCAAGGTTGTGGTTGACATTGGAATTTTATGTCAAGATTGTTTTCATTACTTAATTGAGGAATTAGAGGGCTTTTTTATTTGCACATAGTATTATTGCTGTACAGAAATGTGGAAGTTCTTCATACCAATTTTGATACTGTTGCAAAAATGAATATGCTGTTGTTCAGAGTTCTTTATAAAAGTTAATTATATTAACAAATTAAATTTAAACGGAATGGAATGTACCAGTTAAGTATTTCTTTGTTGTTCAACTAAACTGTCAATCAGAAATAAATTCATCAGTGAGGTAATAGGCTCTATGCACGGCGGTATTTCCGGTGAAGGTCTAAGGATGCTGGATTACTTCCGCCGATCGTAGAGTCCAATGCTATACCGAGAATTTATATTGGTTTTTATACTCTATTGCTATACTAAAGAAACGTTAGTCACAAAAACAGACAAAACAGACAGTCCTCATTTTGTTTATGCTTCTGTGTTTATTATATTAAATAAACATAACTATATATAAAATTACATCTAAACGTATTAAAGTTTCGTTTCAAAGACGAGAGGACAGTAAATTTTGAAGACTCTGCCATAATACCGTTTTCCTCGGTTTTCCTCCGCTTTAAATCACCCCAACCGGAAACGCACGAGCATCCTTGCGTCAAACGCGGAAGTTATGCGTGCATATAGCCCATTGCCAACATGCATAGTTTTATTTAATCAATCAAATAATAGTTTCATACAAAATTGGCCTTTTTTGCAAATGTCTTTTATTTTATCATGTCAAAAAAATTGTCAAGTAGTTGTTAATTTCATCAGATAATTTTTCTGATTCATTCATCACACTGGAAAAGGAAGACTGAGCACATTGCTTTGTGTGATATAATAGCGCATAATGTGTTCTAATGTGTACTGCACACTTTGAGAAATGGCCACACTTGTATTTCAAACAGAAATCTGTGCACAGTTTGCATATTATACACGGCATATTGTAGTAGTATTCTTCTCTGAACATATTCATTGTTTTGTGCTGTTGAGTTTTTATTTAATTTTTTTACCAAAGTACCTGTACTTTTGACGTGTGTAATTGCTAACATGTCTCTTATGGTCAATATACAGAGGATCTCAAACGTCTCAATGACAAACTCGCAGAGACCAGCACAATCAAGATGGAGCTCCAGCTTAAACTAGATGAACTTCAGTCATCTGAAGTTTCCATCCAGGTAACCAGTGACTCTCATTTAGCTGTTATTTGGTCTCTAATATGATGAATTAATACATCTGACCCTTGATTACATATTTTTATTTGAACATTTAAATGGTTTACTGTGTTTCTTTCTCATCAGCATCGTGAGAAGCGAATGGAGCAAGAAAAGGAGCTTCTCCAGAACCAGAACACATGGCTGAATTCAGAGCTGAAGAGTAAGACAGACGAGCTGTACACAGTATTCAGAGACAAGGGCAAAGAGGTCCTGGAGCTCAGGTGCTCTTTTGAGACCAAGAAGGAAGAGGTTTGAGGAATTTTTGAGATGTGTATTTAAATATTAGCCTGTATTCTTATTAGATCACCTGTCTGCATCAATCATATATGTCATAATCAGGTGACCAGACTTCAGGACCAAGTGAACACGCTCAAGAAAAACAACGACAACATGCAGAAGAGTACTGAGAATCTGATGAACAAACTCAAAGAGGTTCACTATCCCCTTCTTATTCTTGTTTGCTCCACCACTTGACATAGAAGAGAAATTTAATCAAGGTGCGTTGTTTGTCTTATATTTTAGGCTAAAGAGCAACGGGCCTCGATGGAGGAAAAGTACCGCAATGAGCTGAATGCTAACCTTAAACTCTGTAATTTGTACAAGGTCAGTAAATGTTGATATTTGTTGTGCAGCATCCAACGTTAATGTGTGGTATGATTCAAATCTGAATCCTTTTGTTTGTTCACAGAATGCAGCAGCAGACTCTGAAGCCAAGAATGCTGAATTGAACAGAGCCGTTGAAGAGCTCAACAAACTGTTGAAGGAGACGATGGAAGGTTTGAACAATTCCTTATAAAGATTTTTTCTGATTCATTCATCACACTGAAAAAGGAAGGTTGAGCACATTACATTGTGGGATATAATAGTACCAGGGAACTACACTGCGACCTGAAATGCCATTGCGACCCTAATTTTTAATGGGTCGCAAATGTATCACCGTTTGATTATTTTTGTACCTATATGTTTTAGGCAATATGCTATGATTTACTATGAGCATTTATTAAAACAGAAATGTGTATTTTAAGAATACGTTTTATAACGTTCTCTGAGCATTCAACACATCAAGTTGGCTTCGCGCTTGTTTAACTGAGAGAACGAGAGAGAGTGAAAGCCGCGCGCGCGCACTCTCTCGCCGTCTTCACACTGTCTTGCTCTCTCTCCCGCCCTCGCTCATATTAATGAATTGAGTTGACTGAATATCTTTGAGAATACACGATGGCATTTTTTTCCTGAACTACCACTGGTTGTGAATTGTGCTAAAATAACGTTGCCTCATCTTCTCTGAAAAGCTTTCCACACAAATATGACATAAACCACACTTTCAATAAACAAAACAAAAAAATCTATCTAGTGATGAAATGTTTTCTGTGTTGAGAGTGAGACAAATCTTTTGCGATGTCCTAAACTGCCTGGATAATCACACAACGTGTGCCGTGGTCCGTTAATGACACGTCCGATTCGCAAACTAATATGACTCCTTTGAACCGATTCACTTTAATGAATGGTTAAAACAACTGATCTGTCCAACACTGAACTCAAGAGACATAAATCAGAAACACTTTACAATAAGGTTCCATTTATTAAAGTCTAGTTAACTACATTAAAACATTCTATTAATATTAGTTTCTATGTGGATTTACTCCATGACAAAACCACCCCAGTCATTCTAGAATGATTCATTCTTTCCAAATAGAGCTTTTTGTTTGAAATTGGTTTTATATC